CTCTACATAGTTCTAATGCAACATCTTCCATAAATATCCTTAAGTAACACCTAAATGGAACAACCAATCACAATGAGTAACTTGATCGAATACAAAGCAACCACATTCCAGAACTGGTCCCTATTGTTGAACCTATACGCAAAACCATATACCCATACGTGTGAAGAACTTTGCATTCTACAGCAGCATAGTAATCAGAATGTGTATCGTAAGTTTTCCTTTGTGTACTTTTTATGCAATTATAAATATAGTTTTTATTTTGTTTAACATTAAACCTGTTACAAATGACTTCGGTCTAACTGAATTTTAAGTGCTATTCATCAAAGTATACCTCAAATTTACATTTTTAGTCCAATTGTTTTTCGAATCAGATGTATTATCGCTTGCATAATTAATTATTAATAATTACATTTTCATTGCGTTCATGCCCATGGTATTAATTTTTCTAGTGAACAATTTATGGCAATCCATTGATTTATAATTACTACAAACATTTAAAAACATAAAAAATCTGGTGTCGATTTACAAGCTTTAACGATAGACAAAAATAGTGTGTTTGTGTTTTTCTTATAGCAAAGCCACATTGGGCTATCTGCTGTGTCTACCGAGGGAATCGAACGCCTGATTTTAGCGTTGTCAATCCGTAGACTCACCGCTGCCCCAGCAGGGGACAGACAGAAGTAAAGTATTAATGTATTATTCAGTAACAAACTTTTATCTTTAGCCTTTCTTGTGCAAAGTTTTGTTTTAAATATATATCAATCCTATTCATTAAAATAAACACACATTTTTTTTGAAGTTTTTTATGTTTGTCAACTTCTGTGAGTAATAAACTAAGATACTAATTATTACAATTTTAACATACATTTACAAATTTCGTAAATGGAATCCCTAAATGATGAATTGTATTGTAAAAACAAATATTGATTATGCATATCAATCATTATTTAAAATGGATCTGTAACAGAAAACCTAAGTAAAATCAGTTATGGCTACAGCTATAGGAAGAATAATATATTAATACTGTTATGTCTCCGTTTGTTAATTAACTTTCCGTAACTTCGTTCCGACGAACTTTAGCGACACAAGTCCTTATTTAATAAAACTGGTTTATTCTTTCTGAATATAACTTCACGATACACTGGATTTCAACATTCGCGCTAAAACAAACGCTATAACGAATGTAAACTTCAACAATACTTTCTCACTGCAGATCAATTACTAATTAATTACCTACACACACAATATTCCCGTCACGTTGTCACCCTCTTATATATACCAGCTACCCTATATCTAGTAATCTCCCGACAATTCACGAAGGTACAAGATATTTCCAGAAAGCAGGGGGCGTGACACTAGTCACGTGACCTCGCTGACGTAACAATACTTATACCGCCCACCGCGAAAATAAATAATTCTTGAGCATTTCAATCATACCAAAAGCCGCTCAACACTAACATATGGTAATTCTACATTATAAAATGTGAACGATAGTGTGATTAATAGCTAACAATTTAGTGTAGAATATCCTGGTCACGAAATAAACTTTGGTATCAACATTATTCATGCCTGTTCTCCCGTCATTTCGAAAATGAATGTTGAGCTTTGCCTGTGTGCGCAGCTTTTCAAACGGGACACAGACAAAGCTCGGACAGACACAACGGTTCGCGATATATATAACATATATACACAGACATGCAGGTCTGACGAGGGGGGGGGGCAAGGGGCAGCTGCTCCGAAGCCCGTCAATGGGATATTCCAAAGCTCACTAGAAATGCATACTACTTAATGAGCTAAAATGGCTACTGCTTTCTCATGGATTTATGAAGAAATTTGTCGCCTAAATTTCTTTTGTGAAAAATCAACAAAAATTAATAAATAGAATGAAAGGGGGAGCCGGTGATATTACTGACCACGGGGCCTGGACTGGCTCTTGACACCCCCTTCACACACGTAATGCTTTAATGGCTATAATAAGCTTCTAACATTTCAACGAAGTATCTTAGGAACAAGCCTTTTGTTACAACACTACGTTATTATAAATAATTTTCTTGCTTTAGCACAAAGCTATACAACAGGTTATCTGCGTTCTGTCCACCACTGAAAATCAAACGCCGTATTTTAGTGGTCCTTAGTCCCTAAACTTATTGTTGACCCACTGAGGGATATTACAAAGACAGAAAGTGTAATTAAAACCTGAATATTGTTACGACAGCGGAGATCACGTGACACTAGTAACACGTCATATTCTCGAAGGTTCGTGAATGCTCGAGCGTTTACTAGATTTTGGGTATTCTTGTACAAGACGGTCGAGACGTGAAGCAACAATGTGTAATTGACAGTTGAGTCGAGCATGTGAGACGTTCTTGTGAATTATAGCGTTTGTTATAGCGCGACTGTGGAAATTCAGTGTATCGCAAAGTTGTATTCAGAAAGAATAAACCAGTTTTATTTAAGAAAGGATTTGTATCGCTAAAGTTTCTCCGGAAAGATTTTTTACGGAAAATTAACTAACGACCAGAGACGTAACAGTATGTAAAATAATGATACTATAAACAAAAAACAACAACAACAACAAAAACTCAGCGTACACAATTGATCCAGTAACTATATATGATAATTGTCGATCATAACTCGTTATCTTTTGCGCTACTGAATTTTCAGATGGAAGGGTCGCTGCAGAACTATGTGATTTAGTATCATATATCTTCTCCAGAGAGATCACCTGTGTAGAGGTTTAATCATACTTGGAGGGATGACCTCCCTATATTTACAAATAGAAACATCAAAGTGACCAGGGAAGTGCATGCACTTTGGTAGAGATAATGTAATGTGGTGTTAGCCCTCTTATTTTTATTCAGATTTTCTCACCTTGATGATACAAATACAAATATCCTGTTGAAAAGTTGCCATGAAATAGTTACTAACTGCAAACATACTGAGAACCTTTGAAAAGTCTGTAGAGCAAGCTCTGTTCAATATATACCTCGAGATTACAGTTTTATAAAAGCCGCATATAAGTTTCGTAACGAAATGGGTAGATAAGAGCAGATTAATAATTGGCATTGGGTGCTATTGACTAGCTGCCTTCCCTATAGTCTATCAGCTCAAAATTAGGGACAGCAGTGCACACATGGTCCTTTGTGTAGCTTTGCGCGAAAATTTGAAAAAAAAGTACATTTATAGGCACTACTAAAACGTTTTTATTTCGTTTTACATCTGTTTTAATCTCGAGTAATGAAAAGCAGAGTTTAAGCATTTTTCTTGTATATGTTTTCCATATTTATATGTTTCGTAACGAAATGTAATACGTTAAATTATTTATATTTAAAGATCTCACCCTTATACATTACGAACTTTATTTTAACTAGTTAGTATTTCAGTGTTATTTTTTAATTACATTTTGTACTTAAATACTTAAAATGGTATTATTTCTATTGATTATTATTCAAATTATTATTACAAAATGACAAGAATGCTCAAACAAACGATAACGTCACGGTATCTTTGCTATACATGATAACTCATAAATCTTACGTCTACAACAATAATACTAGTGATTATTTAATTTCCGGAGTGCATACTGATATATAAAAGATATTTTAATTTGTTTGTTTTTAATTTCGCGCAAAGCTACACGAGGGCTATCTGCGCTAGCCGTCCCTAATTTTGCAGTGTAAGACTAGAGGGAAGGCAGCTAGTCATCACCATCCACCACCAACTCTTGGGCTACTCTTTTACCAACGGATAGTGGGATTGATCGTCATATTATAACGCCTCTACGGCTGAAAGGGCGAGCATGTTTGGTGGGACGGGGATTCGAACCTGCGACCCCCAGATTGCGAGTCGAGCGCCCTAACCACCTGGCCATGCCGGGCCCAGATATTTTAATACCAGAAAAAACTACTTTATAACACCAAATTTGTTATTTATATTTAATAACAAATTTAATTTTATAAGGTTGTATATTTCAAGTATTAAAATAGTATTTGTAACTAGCGTATAGCGCGTCAAAAATGACAGGTCAAGTACTACCACCCCCACCCCATAGTATACTCTAATCTCACATTTCATATCTAACTGAAATAAATATATTTTGCGAAATTAAGCTTCACCAACAAAGAGGCAGAAAATTGCAGTCGAGGCAATCAAACGTCGGTAAGTTCATTTGTGAGCCAATCAAAATTAAGATAATTCATGAAATGAATTCGTGGCGTATTCATAGAATAATTATTGGTAAAAATCTGTAAGATTAACAACTTCTAATATTTAGAAAAGCCAGTGCGTTTTGGTAACACTACGTTCCAACAATGGCTTTTATGTCATGTTGCTTAGTATATCCTAATATTGTTTAATTTATGTAGTGCATATTGGTGTATATAAGACATATTAATACTAGAAATAAACGACCTTATAACACCAAAATGTTGTTTTTATTTCATTAAACACTTAACGTTTCGCTTTACAGCTTCTTCAGGAGCGTTCACTAAAATACAAACCGAAACTGACAGTACAAAGTTTTAAATGGTTTAAATAATAAATTCTATTATCTGAAACTCCCCCCCCCTCACGGCCCCCTTACATCCCCGTTACTAAAATCGTAATGGGCAGACAGTAATCGAACAATTCTATCTGGATATATTGCATTTTGGCTTTTATGACTCCTCCTATTTCGAGAAATTCAGCGTGACGTGCCACACACCAGTTTTTATATAATAATAAATAGGTTAGATGTCATTGTTTTTCGTGACACCCCTTTGACGTCACCGAAACGTGAATGTTTACGTTTTGCACTCAGATGTAAATAAATAATAATAATTTTGCTTATTAAAGCATTGCGTGTCCAATTTGTCTTTGTTGTATTAATGAATATTAATTATGTAACATTTAGATGATGATACTGCATCTTGCAGTGCGTTAAAAATATTCGTGTTCTTGAGCAACTCGCGATTTGGGAAACATGCGCACAAAATTTACAGTTTCCATAGCAACACTATTGCTACAAAATTTGTTAAGCTGCGTACAGCAAATGAAATAATAATTAATACTAATAATGACTGAAGAAGATAAAGCTAACTGGGTTTTTGATACATTAGTGAAATTCTTAAAAGGTGCTGTGTGGAATATACCCATTTTAACGTTCATTGAGCAAAAGTCGATAGGTAAGTAAGAGAAATAATTCTAAGCTTATGAAACTACATGATTTTACTTTATCTATCAAATGAGACTCTGAAGAACCAACCTCACGGTCTGACGAAACATTGGAAATTTAGTGGAAGCAATTCCGCTGACTCAGTGCTGAAACGTATGTGACAAATCCTTTCAAGATATGAGCGGAGTATGTATAATGATAACAGTAAAAATATTTACAATTCGAAAATAAATATTTCGCTTTTATTATTTACTGTACAGTGTACTGATATATCAGAATTGGTTATAAATTGGTTACTGCCTCACCAAAAATTATTACAAGTTTCACTTTACTTTACATTCAAAAAGTTTCTTATCTCAACTCGTAAAGAAACAGAAGGACCATACTTATGATGAAAAATATCAGATGAATAAAAAATTGATTATGTTTGGACGTTTCAAAATCGACTTTTTCCGTCTTCAGCACAATACTAAACTAAAAGGAATACTATTGTCAAAAACTCAGTTAAACAAGTATGTAAAAAACTAATTACAGGATAGGGTAAGTGTTAAAAGAGTTTAGTTGAAACTTGTTCACATATCGATGTCATG